ATATTCTAATATTATGTAATATACTATGGTCTTTAATAGGGCTGAGATTATTAATAGTAATTTAATAATATATTAGTAATTTATGATATATATAAATAGGTGTTGTGAATATATTATCTTTACATTAACATATTTTACCAATAAATTATGTTAGATATTACATTAACATGTCAACTCTATATGCATTACATTTAATATATTATGCTAGATATTGTATTAACACCTCCTCAGACTCAAAACCAAAACACCAAAATTAAAACTTATTTTAGGTGTTTAGGAAAAGTGATAATGTTTTGGGTTGAAGACGATTTAGCTCAAAAAACACCATGGAATCCATACGGGAGCCTAAGTCATTTGTTTTACTGGTTTTGTTAGTTCTTGCTTAGATGTTGTTAGTTCTATCATCTTCCGTGTTAAGTCTAAGGGCACTCATGTTAGTTCTATAGCCGGCTAGCGCTAGTTAGAGCTTAAGTATTGGATCTAGCGTCTTTGTTCGTTCCAACTTAGTTGTTGTAAGTTCTCGCTTCTCCAGTGATAGATCCAGCTGTTCTCGTGTTATTTCCACCTCCATATAACTTTAAGTTCTAGTTTAAGTGTTGGGTCTATTGTACTTAATGAGTTATGTCATCTTATAATTATTACATATTATTTTCAAATAGTTAAATAATTTAATAATTTTGGTATATCAAATTGTTACGGTTATATATTATATTATATTTTTAAAATAACCTTATTTTATTATTAATATAACATAATATTATACTATTGTCATTATAATATAATCATTCATATAATATAATATTTTTAATAATGTTAATATTATTTTATGACTGGTATGTTACTAATAAATTAATGTGTTATAAATATTCTAATATTATGTAATATACTATGGTCTTTAATAGGGCTGAGATTATTAATAGTAATTTAATAATATATTAGTAATTTATGATATATATAAATAGGTGTTGTGAATATATTATCTTTACATTAACATATTTTAGCAACTAATTATGTTAGATATTACATTAACATGTTAACTCTATATTAATTACATTTAATATATTATGTTAGATATTATATTAACACCTCCTCAAACTCAAAACCAAAACACCAAAATTAAAACTTATTTTAGGTGTTTAGGAAAAGTGATAATGTTTTGGGTTTAAGACGATTTAGCTCAAAAAACACCATTTTATCCATACGGGAGCCTACGTCATTTGTTTCACTTGTTTTGTTAGTTCTTTCTTAGATGTTGTAAGTTCTATCGTCTGACGTGTTAAGTCTAACCGCATTCATGTTAGTTCTATAGCCGGCTAGCGCTAGTTAGAGCTTTAAGTATTGGATCTAGCGTCTTTGTTCGTTCCAGCTTAGTTGTTGTAAGTTCTCGCTTCTCCAGTGATAGATCTAGCTGTTCTCGTGTTATTTCCACCTCCATATAACTTTAAGTTCTAGTTTAAGTGTTGGATCTATTGTATATGTTAGTTCTACCTCGCTTCTCCAGTAATAAATCTTAAATCACCTCATTCCGAGTTCGGGGGAAGAAATTACAGTGAAAACAACAATTAGAACTAACATGGTGTAGATTAGAACTAACATGGTATAAGATAGAACCAAAAAGACATAAGTTAGAACTAACATGGCATAACTTAGAACTAACATGGCACAAACTGGTCATTTTCTATCTGATTCTGCTCGAATCTGGGCAATAGAAGAATATAGACTAAGCTGGAACTAACAATACAAACCAAGATCTAAACTTGTGAACAAGTCCATAAGCCTAACAATACAAATACTAAACAACTGATAGCTTCACAACAACAGTAGAATTAAATGCAAACAGCAGATAAGCTTAACAACAAACAGATTAGATTTGACAACAGAGCGCTGAACTACGCAACCAGTCCATAAGCTTGACAACAGAGTGCTAAACTTCGCAATAAATCGGAGAGGTTGAAAACCAAAACATAACTTTGACAATCCGTCCATAAGCTTGACAACACAACGGCAAACATAACAATACAACCAGTCCATAATCTTTACAATAAAACGTGATGACTTAACAAAACAACCTTGTATTAAAGTAATGTCAACTGCATGTACAATCTGTGTCTTTGCTCTTAGTTCCAGTATCTTGGGTGAGTATACCTGGATTCATAAGCGCATGGAATACGATCAATTCAGACGGGTCAGTACGTGAATCACCTAGGAAGGCATGCGAATGCTAGCAAAAAGATAGTCCTCTGGTTTACGTTAACACTGTATAGCTATAGAGTGTTAACGTATGCCAGAGGACAATTCTCTCCAGCATTTGCATGCCTCCCCATGTGATTCACGCATGACCCATCTGAATTGATCGTATTCCATGCGCTTATGAATCTTAACTGGGCGTTAATGTACAAACTCTTTGAAGGGAGCCAGGTATATTCACCCACTGATGGAACTAAGAGCAAAGACAATGGGGATAACATCTTCATCAGCATGAGGGATATCCAAGATCCACATCAGCGTGCGTCCCAGGCAGGCAATGACCTTCATCGGATGTACAGGAACTAGCCATGATTTTACAACGCCATATATACAGGGGAACTTGAAGGTGTAGGGGAGAGGGTAAAAGTATGGGGTTTACAAATAAATGAGGAAGAGTCTACAGAGAGTCGGCGATGGGGAGATCCGAAAAAGATTACGCCGAAAAGGTAATCAATCCTATCCTGGGGTTGAACAGGCTTTGGGGATGGTGATGTTGCCGCGTTGGATGTGGGGATAGGTTCCGGACCAGGTTATCATAACTCTCCTCCTTGGGACTGCACTTTTGCAAGGTGAGTTAACTCTTCAACCTTGGGAACTATGCAAAAACAATGAATGCAGTCAAACCTATAATATCTCGGTAACCTTCACAGCCAAGTGCAAGTGAATAATGTTAGTTTAAGTGTTGGATCTATTGAATATGTTAGTTCTACCTGGGTTAATATTCGTTCTAGCCGTTTCTCGAGTTAGTTCTAGCCATTCTCGTGTTAGATAACACAAGGTATAGTTTAAATGTGGGTTCTAATGCCTATGTTAGTTCTAGTTGTGTTCTAATGACTATGTAACTTAAACTAGATTAAATGTGATATTTCTAGCTGATCTCGTGTTATTTCCACCTCCAGATAACTTTAAGTTTTGGTTCTATTGGATATGTAAGTTCTAGCTGCCCTCCTGAATAGTTCTACCCCTTCTCGAGTTAGTTCTACTTCGTGCTGGCGTTATTTCTAGCACAAGTATTTGTTCTATTGCCATGTTAGGCCTAGATCACTTCTTATTAGTTCTAGCTGTCCTACTATTAGTTCTACAATATCTCGAGTTAGTTCTACTTCGTGCTGGCGTTATTTCTAGCACAACTGTGTGTTCTGTTGGCCATGTTAGCCCTACCTCACTTCTTGTTAGTTCTAGCTACCCTCCTGTTAGTTCTATCCCTTCTCGAGTTAGTTCTACTGCGGGCTGGCGTTATTTCTAGCAAAAGTGTTTGTTTTGGTGGCCATGTTAGCCCTAACCCACATCTTGTTAGTTCTAGCTGCCCTCCTGTTAGTTCTATCCCTTCTCGAGTTAGTTCTACTGCGGGCTGGCGTTATTTCTAGCACAAGTATTTGTTTTGGTGGCCATGTTAGCCCTACCTAACTGCTTGTTAGTTCTAGCTGCCCTCCTATTAACCCTACCTAACTGCTTGTTAGTTCTAGCTGCCCTCCTATTAGTTCTATCCCTTCTCGAGTTAGTTCTACCGCGGGCTGGAGTTATTTCTAGCAAAAGTGGTTTGTTTTGGTGGCCATGTTAGCCCTACCTCATGCTTGTTAGTTCTAGCTGCCCTCCTGTTAGTTCTATCCCTTCTCGAGTTAGTTCTACTGCGGGCTGGCGTTATTTCTAGCACAAATGTTTGCTCTGGTGGCCATGTTAGCCCTACCTCACTGCTTGTTAGTTCTAGCTGCCCTTCTGTTAGTTCTATCCCTTCTCGAGTTAGTTCTACTGTGGGCTGGCGTTATTTCTAGTAAAAGTGTTTGTTCTGGTGGCCATGTTAGCCCTACCTCACGCTTGTTAGTTCTAGCTGCCCTCCTGTTAGTTCTATCCCTTCTCGAGTTAGTTCTACTGCGGGCTGACGTTATTTCTAGCACAAGTGTTTGATTTAACATGAAAATACTTACAACACACAACAACAACGTAGTTGTCTGTAAATGTACACGCAAAACAATTAACAACATATTAACAACATGAACATACTTACAACATTGAATACACAACAAAAAAACCTTGGAGAAAATTAAAATAATATTTACAAAAAAGGTGAATCACGTGCATACAAAAGAGCAGCACAAAACTTTGCTCTATATTTTGCACAATCTCCTTTTGAAATTGTTATCGACCGTTTTTCTACAATGCTGTTAATGAATTCAATCATAAAGATCCCGCAATCTAACGTTCTGCATTTAGGGGAAAAATATTAAAGATCCCGCAATCTAACGTTCTGCATTTAGGGGAAAAATATTACAATATTGAAAATGACTATGAACCAAAAATATGAACAATTAAATTAGAAATGCATGAAACACTTACGGTCCTTGTTGTGGCACGACAACTGACACAAGACCATGATGCTCCAATTTCCCCAATCCCCAATTACTCTCAATGAAACTCATAAACTTATTTCTAAATTTCACAGCATCGGCGGTATAAATAGGGAAGTTGATTGAGGAGTAGTGATAGAATTTTTTCTCCTCTCTCACTAACTCTACCAGGTGCCAATGTCCGGAGCTGACAATCGGGATCAGAATTCTTTCACACTCCAAGAACTTCTGCAGAGAAACATTTTCCTTCATTCATTTTGCCACCATTTCAATATTTCCTTCTAGAAATGCTTGCTAAAAGATGCAATAATGTCAACATTGTGGGATAACATAATAATAATATCCACCAATTAGTGAAAAAAACAAGGATATACTTACTGCAAGCCAAGGTCTTGTGACATGTATCTTTCAATCATAACTATTAGTTGTTTCAATCTTGTTACAAAGCCGAATAACAAATGCATCGATCACCTACAAAATTTACCATGAATGAATAAAATAGTTAATATAAATTATTTTATATACAACATCAAACAATCAATAACACAATTGTTTAGAACCTACATCGTCACTGAGTTCACCTCCCGTTAATAGTATATAAGCATCTAAGCGAGATACGCTTGCTTCGGCACACTTCCAAATGTACGTATCACTATATGCAAGTACATTGTGAGAAAATTGCTACTAGAATTAAGTAAATTCAAAGATTATTATTAGAATAAGTCAGTAACAGTTACCTGTTCATTCTCGATTGTAGAAAGTCTTCAATTAATTTGTTCTCATAATCAAACGCCAGTGCCTTACCTGGATAGTCTCTAGATGTAGGTATGAAGCCTTCTTCATTTTTGTACTTTTTTTTCCCATCAGGACTATCCAATATCTGGATGACACGTCTCTTCTTTGTGCCTTCCTTTGGTTGATCTAGAGGCATATAAGGTGAAGTAACAGAGGGTCCATCCTTCCTCTCCCTCTTTCCGACAGCCCGTTTGATAGATGGCGTTTCTCTGTTATTCTCATTACCACCTTCATCTTTTTGAGAAACATCTCTATAGAGTCGAGAAGGCATATAATTAACAAAGAGTTACACAAGAATTATATGGAAAATATAAAAATTAAAATTGCAAGAAAATTTAAAAAACTAAACTCACCGAGCATCTTCTAAAATTCTCACGTCTCTTGCGCTCATCACAAAGTCATCACATAAATCGGCTTCCCCAGTTCCTTCCAAATTCTCATATTCCTTAGCTTCCATATCCTCTTTGATTTTTTTTCTTCAGTTACATTTCCGTCATCCTCTTTCTCCTTGGTTTTTTTTGGCATCTAGCACTACGCTCTTCTAATTCTCGTAATTCTGTAGTGAGCTCATTCAACTCGTACGTCTTCTCCGCAATTAAGAAAATTAATTCAGCTTTCCTTGATTCCTATTTGACCAAAAAAAGCTAGTATTAGTACGTATACTATAGTTGCAAACATAGATACTAACAAAAGGGACATAAAATAATGAACTATTAGAGCAACGATATGTACAAATACTATTGGCGATGCCGTATGAATAAGAGGAGTATTCTCTTGGCCATTATCCGTAACCAACTTCGGGACTCTATATAATTTGTTCATAGTAGTCCTCCTCCACTTTCCAGTACTCTTCACACAAAAGAGCGGCGGTAACCTTTCAATATCTGAAGTGTACTCTAATTCCCCTACTTTTTCATAAAACCAAACCTACAAAAAAGAAACTACACATTAGCATGTGCATAAACAATAATCATTATCAAAATGAAAAGATATACAAAATAATGTTCATGTAACTCACCAGTAAAACGGAGGAAAAACCACCCATGTACCCGGCATTTGAGCGCTGACCTAATTCCCGCATACTAAGAGACTTCTTTGATTTACTCATCTCTTTGCAAAGAAGAGTGAACACCGCATGGCACCAATTATATTTATGCAAAGTTGATAACTGCTCCGCATATCTAAACGCCCACAAGGGACATGTCTTACATGTCCGCGGGCATAATATGAAGCCGATAATGAAAGCCACAATAAGTTTCACACATATTATAGGGTCTTCATTAATCATATCTACAATCATCTCGGCCATTCTATCGCGCTTCCCCGAAATCACCGCCTTCTTTTCCTCATCGGCTTTCTTATAATTCTTTACAAAATATGTGTAGATTGTATTAGCCACTGCCCCACTCATTTTTATCGGAATTCCCTCCTTTGGCAATCCGGTAATTCGGTGAATATCATCTATACCGAACACACAATTTTTATTCCCAATCATGAATGAGCATTTATCGGGATTAAAATTTTGAATCAAGCAATCAATTGCTATTTGCTCATTGCTCAAGGACCTGGGTATATTGAGAAAGTTGTGAAAATGTGTCGTCTGTAGGGCTTTTATGTGTCTTTCATCTAATATTATTCGCTTATCAATTAAATCTCGAAAATAACACAAATTGGCCGGAATTCTTAAGTGTGTTATCTTAGCCCTACAAGAAAATTATAATTCAGAAAGAGTTAAAAATTAAATATATTTGGGCAAATTAAGACGCATATTAACAAGTTTATTAACACAAACATTATACATCATGGCTTACAACAAAATTATAATTCAGAAAGAGTTAAAAATAAAATATATCATGGCAAATTACTTACGAAGTTGGAGGATTATTGCATTTAGAAGAGGTAGGCTTTGATTTTGAAGAATTCGAAGACGTCGACGCTTTTAATTTGTTCGAAGCCATGAGGGCAGACGTCGAGGGCTTGGTCGAGCTACGGAGGCGGCGATGAACCTGAGGGCTGAGCTCGAATGCCGTCGGAGGCGTGACTGATGACGAGGGCTGAGCTCGATGGCGAGGAGGAGTAGACGGCGATGACCCGGCGGCGACGCTCAGCGGCGGCGATCTCGGGAGCTGGAGAGGAGGAGGGGAGGTGATGGCTAGGGCAAGGGGACGGTGGCGACGCTGAACGGGGACGTCGAGGGCTTGGCCGAGGTTGGGCGGCGGCGCTTTCGGGCGGTGGTGAGGAGGAGGGGGTCGGTGATGGCGACCGAATTCGCGATCTTGAGCCGGCGGCGACGCTGATCGGGGGCGGCGAGCTCCGGCGGCGATTTCGGGCGCTGGAGAGGAGTAGGCGGGAGGTGATCTGAGTGCGGGAGAGATGAGAGAAGGGTAGGGATTTTGGGGGGAAGGGATTTTCAGCGAAGGGCTCAGATCCCTTTATTGGGTTTATAATAAACCGCCCAGATCGCGCATCCTCAGAGCCAGCCTACGGAGTCACCGCAGATTCACTTTTTCCATATATATATATATAACCAAATACGTGTATGTGTGTATATGATTGAGCTTAGAGTACCAACACACATAACGTGTATGTGTGTATATGATTGAGCTTAGAGTACCAACACACATAATATATAAACCTAAACTAAATTACTCAAGCTTGATCTTGATCTTCAATAAGCTTGACTTGGTACACTTGCGGAAGAAGCTTAAACTTGGATCTTTAATATGAATTGCATAGGCTTCACTCCACAATTCCGCCAACCTCCATTGGATATGATCGTGAATGTACAATTCCATCCATCCTCTAACTTGTTGTTTTCCTAGAATAAATACGAAAACACAAACACTAGACAAACAACATTAGAAGTAAATTGTTTGTTAAACATCATCAAAAAAAGAATGCCAACACACTATTCTGTGAAAATCAAGCTGCAATACACATTGCGACGAATCCAGTTTTTCACGAAAGGACTAAACACATTGAGGTGGATTGTCATTTCGTGAGAGAGAAGATCTTGAACAAAGTCATCAAAACTGCATACATCCGAAGTGCTGATCAAATAGCGGATATCTTCACAAAACCATTGCCGAAGGGAATTTTTGAAGCATTAAAGAGCAAGTTGACCTCGAATGATCTCTACGGATCAACTTGAGGGGGAGTGTTGCGCAACATACAAGCTGGCAGAAGCATTTTTGGAATACTGTCTGGCGAAATTTCACTATGATTGTTTTCCATCTTTAGGAGATAGCAGTTTTATTTGTTTCCTTTTCTTGTGCACTTAGCTTAATTGTATTTGCTTCTCCTTGTATAAAAAGAGACATATATCATTGCTACAGCTTGTAACATATACAAAAAGAAATTCATAATTAATAAACTCTGGGAAGGAGGGAGCTTTCTGAGAGTCTTGTGTCTCTTATATTTTTTTTTCTACAGAATCAATAGAAAAAACAAATCTACCGAGAACCAATCGGTCGGCCAACCGATTGGCCAATCCATTGACCAACCGATTGGTCAACTATATATATGATGTGTATATATTTAAATCAAAATTTAATTAAAAAATAGATTTAAGATTATTTGAGTCTTAAAATTGGTATATAAAACTTAAGTAGAAATTGTTATTTGATTAAGATTATTTAAGATCTAAGATTATTTGATTTTTTACTATTTTTTTATCATTTTCACTTTTTTCATCATTTTCTCTAAACTAATCACAAATATGACATCATATATGCAATAATACAAATAATAACATGTGATCAATTTTAAACAAATATTTAATAAAAAACGAATCGAATATACATCTGGTCAAATTCTAATCGTTAGCAAACTTGAATGTGTTAAATGAACTACCGAATTGAATATGACTGAATAGTTATTTGAACAATTATCGAACTATTTGTTAATTATTTGGTTCATTTACATCCCTAGATGTAGCAATTTACATAATTTGGTGGACTACTTTTAAAATATTATAGATTTGAGGAACTAATATTAAAATAATTCTTAATTGTTTGTGGGGCCACTCATTAACAATGAGATAATCAATCACTAATGTTGATTTTTTTTACGATGGGCACATTAGCATTGGCGACGAAACACATCCGTCACAAATGTTTTCTCGTCGCCAATACTCATTGGCGACGGGAAAACATTGGCGATGGGGTTGTTCTCGTCGCCAATGCAAACATTAGCGACGGGGTTGTTCCTGTCGCCAACGTTTGTATTGGCGACGGATTCGAAATCCGTCGCCAATGCCCAGTTTTTTACTAAGTATTCTTTGATGCCGATTGTTGGAATAAGAACCAAAGGTGACAGTTGACGACTTTATTTTATATTTTATAGGATGGAATTTGCTTGCTAATTGGCTGTTGTTAGTTAGTGTTTAGCTATTTTCCCCTTCGAGGTGGGATCATTGCCCTTAGCTTTCTTATTCTCACTTGTTCTTCTTTCCTTGATTCAGGTTTGCTTTTTCGTCTAAAGGAGTATTGGCATTTTGCTTTACAGGTTTGGAGATAGAATTGATTAGGTGATCCTCTTCATCATATTTCGAGTAAATTAGGGTTAATATTTGCCCATGTTTTGAATTTTTCCAGTTGTGTTATTATATACATGAACCAAACAGCAAATTTAATTAAAAAACCATCATTGAAAATATATCTCATTCATCCCGAAGTGTCATTCTTCATTATCTCTAGATGTGTCATCCTATTACTACAATGGATAAAAGGTTTCATTTTCTGATTTCATGGATATCAATGTCATATATTTTCAGTGTCAAGGCATCAAACACTTATGAATATATTTGACAAAGCACCTTTAAAATAATTATTATATATTTGTTCTATTTTTTAATTTCTTTCATAGTTCATACTCAATTCACTTCTTTCATAATTCCCTCAATTCACTTTAAACATTACATTAAAGTGAATAAAGATAATACTAACATTCCATGTATTTGTTAATACAATTGTGTCAGGAATAAAGATCAAGTTCAAGTGACAATTTCAACAAAGAAAATAAAAAGGTACGCTTCCATAAATTATTTTATATATTATTTTTAAATTTTATTATAAGTAATTTTTTACATATATACCTCTCAAATCATCAATATTTGCAAAATTGAAATTCTTACAGACATCTCCAAAATGATTTTACAAAAAACACCTAAAGTTAAAAAAATACAAATAACTCCCTTCAAGTTTTGTGAACAATCCACATTAACTTTAAAAGTTATAAATATTATTTAAATTTTTGAAAAAAAAACAACCTTTAAAAATTTACATATGACTCCCTAAATTTTTTGAGTAGAAAAAAAATATGAATTTAATATTTTTTATAAATAAATCAATTGTCACTTCTTCTGCAGTTCATATGATACTTTCACTTGGTTCACTTTGATGTTTATTAAAATATCGCATGGAAACATCTAAAGCTAAGTCAAACAAATTTAACTTTTATATGCTTTCGTAAAATATTTATAACTAAAACTATTACCAATATACACATACAGGACTGTCAACATCATCAACGAAAACTAAAAGGAAAAGTTACTACGAAGACCTAACTAATGAGAAGAGAGAAGCTTATAATGAAAACGAACTTTTGAAGAAAACTCAATTAAAACGAACATTTTGAAGATAAGAGGACAAGGACGAGCAATATTGGTGAAAACGAACATTTTGAAGAAAACTCAATTAAAAGGCGTGGATGGTTAGAACGAGGAGCATGTCAACAAGTAGAACAGAATCGTGCGTTATAAAAATTTTGTGAACTGTAAAAAGATAATTTAATACAATGTATAAAACTAACATATGATAAATTATAATCATATAGGAAGGGCAATATATTTATTCCGTCTTGCTCTGAAGAACACAAGCTTGTAAAAATAGCAAGGTGCATTCATGGTAGAGCATTGAAGTTTAAACACGAGAGCTCAACTTTTTGCTGCAGCAATAGTGAAATTATACTTGTAGACCTTGATATTCCTGATGTGTTGTATAAATTGTTGACATTGGATTTAGAAAAGGAAGATGAGTTTAGAAAAAAAAGAAAGCATACAACAGTGTCTTCTCATTCACTTCATTTGGGGTAACAATCAATAAACAATTGGTATCTTTAAGACAAGAAATATACACTTTCAGAGCACAAGGACAAATCTACCATATATAGTTTTCTTGGACTGATACCACAAGATGATAAACCATGCTACTTCCAATTATAATTCTATAACACAGACAATAAGCTCCAGAACAAAATGAATATCATACAAGAAGGAAATTTATATGAAGGACACATGAAGAGTCTAATGAAAATCTTGGAAAACAATCCGTACGCAACGTTTCTACAAAGATTTAAAGATATACCAATTG